AGGGGAGGAGCACATAAAACTACACACAGCATCAACAGAAGCCAGCCCCAAAACCTCAGTGCCTCTCTCAGCACCTCTGGCTCAGTCTGACTCTCTCTTGAGCACTGTTCACATTTCATGGATGTGTCAACCCAGGACACTCCTTCTCCCAAAATGCAGCTGCCATTGTGGCAAAGCCTGGCCACTATCTACTGAATGACAAGACCATGTGTTAGATAAAGAAAGCAGGGTCGCACACATTCTTCTGAGAGGAAGAAATTGAACTCAGAACGCACAGACATGATGGCTCCTGGCATAAATCCTTTATTTTCTTAAGGAGCACCTCAAACCCAGCACCTTCCAAGGTACTCATCACCTTTAGCCGAGCCAAGGATTCAGCTGGGAGTGGGTGAGGGGACACCACGAGGACACAGACCACTGCCATGACCCACAAAGCCTTTTGCCAAAGCCACGCCTGGCCCACGCATGCTGAGCGTGCACTGCCAGCATCTCTGTGGCTGTACCTGCTGGGGAGGTACCCAGCCAGGACAATGGGCTCTGCTCTCTGCATGGCATTTTCCTGTTATCTCACACCCGCTGTAAAGCGCTGACTGAAGGAATGCTGAGTCAGGAGCGCTCTCAGATGGAGGAAATTCATTTGTTTTTTAGCACCTGCATGGCCTTGTGTCAATTGGAAGCGTTGCAGTTTGGGGAGCAGAGGGTGTTTAACCCAGTGCCTTGCACTCCGGGGAGCAGCCTGGTTCCAAACCACGATGAAATGCGCTGGATCCAGGTAATGGGGAGGCCAACAGGACCTGCAGTTCCCTTTAGCAACTCAGAATTATTTCTTAATAAGGAGAGTTCACCTTCTGGCCTCTCCTTCCCAAGACTGTGATGAGGTGCCTTGGCTGCTGGCCATACTTGCAGCACCTGATGGCAGCCCTGTGTTTTGTACCACAGAGTCACCAGCATGTTGTCAGCTCAGAGAAGTCAACAAAACCCATGGCCATGCCTCAGGAGCATGCCCCAAGCAGGCACAGAGCTCCCGTTTCCCTGAGCTCAGCAGCCCTGTCTGATAAAAAGAAGGGATGGAGCTGCTTGGAGAAAAGGAGAAGAAAACATTTCCAACGCTGGCTCTGCTCCCATCAGATAAAGAGTGCACGGCACAAAGTCCTTGAGGTGACTCTGGGGTGACTCTGGCATACCACCAAGCCAGGCAGTGGCAGGGAACACCCAGCTTCCCATCCCACTGGGGCTGTGGGGGGCACAGGGAGGAGATGTGGCCATCCAAACCTCCCAGCAGCTGCATCTGGAAAACACCAGCGTGAGTCGGGGGAAGGGGCACAGGGCCCTGTCAAAGGTCACATCCCAGCCATGCCAAGGCTCGGTGCTGGGAGCAGCTTCACCCCACTGCCTGAACAGCAGCTGCCCAGCTCCAGCACCACCACCCACAGGAGCTGCTCCCTGCCTCAGTTTCCCGGCTGTCAAAATCAACCAAGAGCCAGTCTGGGCTCTTTCACATTTTTCAACTCTGCCAGGCTGGGGAGGGAGCAGGCAGCAAGGAGCGTCCTTACCTGTTCCCTTGCTCACCTGGAGCACCTCCACCAGACACCCAACCCTTCTGGAGACCCTGCGGCTTCTGCTAAAGGAGCTGCACCCACCACCTGACTTTGTCTCCTGTCCCCAAGCTGTCAGCACAGCATCTCCCTGCGTGCCTGCGGTTCCGGCAGGGCGACATTGCCATCTGCTGCCTGCTGCTCGGCAGGACACGCCAGCTCTCCTGTGCCACCCAGGCACGGCCCTTCCTCCAGCACCGGGGACTGTCCCAGTGTCACCAGCTCAGGGACAGCACCCACGCCACCACCTCCACACCGAGCTCGGCACCAGGAGCACATCGCAGCCCAGAGCTCCAGGTGTGTCCTGCTGCAGGGAACAGGGCTGGAATGCTTGTTTGAGGAATGTGATGCCACCCAGCAGCACAGGGACAGCGGGACCGTGTCCCCTGCCAGCAGCAGCCATGGAATGACAGAATGGTGTGGGATGGGACTTTTTCAATGTCCTCTGGTCCACCCTACAACCAGCAGGGACATCTTTAGTCAGATTGCTCAGAGCCCTCGACCAGACCCTGGATGTTTCCAGGGATGGGACATTTCACCCCCCTCCAGTGTTTTACCATCCTCATGCTCTGAGCTGCTGTGACACAACCCTGCCCTTGGCTCTGCTGGTGACTCACCCACCACATGGGAACACACACACCTCCAGCTCTTCAGCCTTGGGCTCTTCATCTGGAAGCACAAGGATGGTATTTTTTAACTCACAGCCACGCCGAGAGATGCTCGCTTATTTTAAACTTGAAAGCACCTACATATTGTTTCTACAGCTTGAGATAGGAGATGCCACCAAAGGGAGAAGAAGAGTTGTAATTATCTGCAGTTCAGAAGTTCAGCCTTCAGAGGAGGAATTGGGCTCCCAGCTACACTTGCCACACGTTTTTAAGCTGATCTTTTGAAAGAGGCTGTGCATTTTATAATTGAGATTGCCCACCTGAGAGACGAGCTTTCCACATCACTCCTGGGTTTATAGGTCATAGACACAGACCAAGGCTGATGGTGTCTGAGAGGGACAGAGCCATGGAAGCACCACAGGGGAAGCTCTAATGTCAAAGGATGCAATCCTCATATCAATTTATATCTGAACAACAGGTGGATCCACCGAAGTGTGACCTGCTAAAATGCAGTGCTTGAGGATCAGCCACACCCAGAGGCTGATGGTTCAGCTTTGAAATGTGCTGGAGGATTTCCACTTTGAAATCCACTGCTAGGAGCTGACACAATCAAGTGCTGAGCAATGGGACCCAGCCCCTGGAATGAGCTGTAAACAAATTGAGTAAAATAATCCTAAAGCAAAAATAAAACGAAATTTAAGGATTTTCTTTACCTTTTTTTTTTTTTTCTGCAGCATTTCTTGCTCTTTTGGAAAAGAGCTGGGTATGGGGAGGGACCTCCATCTCCAAACAAGAGAAAATGCTTTTCTCTATAGATGGATATGTCTCCTGCTATCAGAAATGACCACAGCCTGAAGAGTCCATGTCAGCTCCACCTTAGGGCTGCCCTGAGTTATCACAAGAGATGTGGACACCACTGGTGTCTGGACAGGGCATTTGGCCATGATGGATGAGTGGAATTAGGCTTGTCTGAAAGCAAAATCATCTTTTCCCCTCAATCAAGGCTGGCTGAGATTTGCTCTGCCATTCCTAAACACCAGGGGATTTATTTCCTACATTTTCCTCCCAGGTGGCCTCAGATAAGCAGCCTTCCCAGCCTCCCCCCAGCAGATCCCAGTCTGCCCTGTTGCTGATATGTGGATTTACCACAGCCCCAGTGCAGCTGTGGCACAGATGCCCAGGAGCTGGCCCTGGATATGCTCCAAAAACCTCAGGAGAGATGCTCCAGCTGCCTTCTCCTGATGAGAGTTGGGGGATCTCCTGACAGCTCCAGGGAAGTCCACCCAGCATTTCTCCTGCTCTGAGCCTGTAATTTGGTCTCCCATGTGACTTTGTGTCTCTGACAGCCCCTGCAATGGGCCTGGGAGTAGCTTGGACAGGGTATGATTTGGATTTCCTCCCACTGTTGCTTCTCTGTGGGCAGGCAACGTAGTGTTTATCCCATAACCTAACTCTGGTAACCAGGGAAAGTACCAGGCAGATCTCAGAGCAGTCCAGAGACTGCAAGGGAAAAGGAACAACTTCACAATGAAAATTAAATTAAAAAATAACAACAAAACCCAAACAAACAAACAAAACCACCACCAACAAAAACTAAAACCAACCAACCAAAAAAAAAAACCAAACAACAAAACCCACTTCCCTGCATGGTATAGATTTTATAACATCTCTTTCTTATAAAATCATTGTTTTCTCACCCAAGCCATACAACTTTGTGCTTTTCTAGTCTACAGCATCCCATAAGGCTTTTCCTTGGCTCTGGGTTCAGCCCAGAGCTCTGCTGTGTGTAGCCCAGGAGAAAATGTTCTTCACAGACAATCAGGGAAGGTACTTTGCTGTATCATTCTTCCCTGTTTCAAGAGGCTGAAGGGGAGAATGATAATCATTACAATTACCTTTTTCCTTCTGCAGCATTCCTTGCTCTTTTGGAAAAGAGCTGGGCATGGGGAAGGAATCTCCCTACAGATACCCCAGAACACCCAGCATGGCTGGAGGGGATCAGAAATGCCAGGATCCCATGGCACCACTCCAGCCTGGAGCTACTTTGGGTGGCCTGTGCTGGAAAATGAATTGTAGCTCTTCTCCCTGGTCTCTTTATAACATGTGAGCAGACCTCAGCTGGTCCCTGTGATGATGCTCCTCCTTCTGCAGTGAGATGAACCTGTCTCTGTGCCCTGCAAACCCCTTCCCACGGCTTTCTCTTCTCTGGTTTTTAACACTGTGCTCAGTGACAGCTTCCTCATGGCTTCAAGTAATAGAATCATAGAACTATAGAATTGTTAAGGTTCAAAAAGCCCTCCAAGACCATCCAGTCCAAGCATTAACCCAGTGCCCATCACTAGATCATGTCCCCAAGTGCCACAGCTACACATATTCTAAATCCCTCCAGGGATGGTGACTCTGTCACTTCCATGTGGGACTTGTCAAGGCTTTTTCCTTTCCTTTTTTCTTTCCTGTTTCCTTTCCTGTTTCCTTTCCTTCCCTTTTTCCTTTCCTTTCCTTTCCTTTCCTTTCTCCTTTCCTGTTTCCTTTCCTTTCTCCTTTCCTGTTTCCTTCCCTTCCCTTCCCTTCCCTTCCCTTCCCTTCCCTTCCCTTCCCTTTCCTTTCCTTTCCTTTCCTTTCCTTTCCTTTCCTTTCCTTTCCTTTCCTTTCCTTTCCTTTCCTTTCCTTTCCTTTCCTTTCCTTTCCTTTCCTTTCCTTTCCTTTCCTTTCCTATTATTTTAAACTATATAACTATAAAATAACTCCTCTGAAACAAAAATTACCATAAAAACAAACCAATACACATCTGAAAACTTCTGTGTTTTCCTTATCCTCCCCTTACACAATGAGGCTTTTAATTAGGAGGATCTTAGTTTTATCCAAAGGCATCCAGCCCATATGCACCAAAACTATTCCATAATGATAAGCAAGGTACAGTCAGGAGGGACAATAGGGAGTGTTGTTGCAACACTGGCATACACTGTAAGGGAAAGATAATTTCCAGAATATTAGTTTTATTTAACAATGGTGAAAAACATAAAATGTGTTTTCTTTTAAAGCTGTGTACTCTTTATTTTTTGTGTTTAAAACTTTTCTTTTAAAACTGTGTTTTCTTTATTGTTTTAAAACAATAGTGAAGACAGCTCAATTTAATGGTATAAATCACAAAACAGAAAAGGTATGAAAATGACTTAAAGTGATGAATATAAGTAAAATGTTATTTAAAAGTTACATCAAAGTATGGAAAATGTTTGACTGTTTTTGAAGTTGTATATTCTTTCTAACAGCAATTTTGCATACAAATAATAGATATTTCACATTGTGTTCAGTATATATAAACTGATTTTTAGGCCATGTCTGAGGAGTTTGCACAAACACTCCCCCATATTTCAACAGCCCCATGGGGTCATCAGCCTCCCATGGTTTGGGCCCAATAATTTTACAAGTTTCCAGCTTGTCCCAAAATGTGCTCCAGAGGACTCAGGAACTTCCCAGATGAACCAGGAGCTGCCCAGCAGACCCAGAAACTCCCCAGATGATCCAAACCTACCTGGAGGATCCAGGGGCTGTGAATCTTCTCACTTATCATTATAATCCAAACCAACAGAGTCCAGCCTGGGAAAACCACTGTGGAACAGAAACAACCACGTTCTACCAGTGTCCTGAAGGAAGGCAGGAATGGCAGCAGGACTTAAGCACCTTGCTTTGCCTTAAGCACCTGGAACTGCACCTGTGGTCAGAAAAGCAGTAGGCAGGGAGGTGAAATATTCAGAGGCATTCAAAGACTGACTCCTTTATCCAGTGCCTCTGTTAAGTCAAGCTTACAGCACCAGTTCATATCAGTACAGAGCTGAGCCTAAGGGGATCCTGACCAGAATCACATCTAAACCCAGCTTCAGCCAGAACTTCACAGCAATTCAAAGAATTTCAGCAGTTTGTACCTTTTATGAGATGAACTAATTGTGGTATTCTTAGGAAAAAAGATACCTCGAGGAAAAGGCAGGCTTGAATTTGTTTTCAGTATTTCCTTGCAATCACTTTAGGAAGGAAACCTTTTAAATTCAACTAAAGCCAAAGAGACACTTTTAAAAAGGAAAATTGCAACAGCTCAACTCTGCATTTTTTGCCTTTGCCTCCTGCATGAGTTCTCCTGTGTCTTGCTCTGAATTCTAAATGGGAAAATGATGGACTTCTTAACTGTGCCTAGAACCCCTTGGGACACTTGGGAGCCCACCCAGACCGTTCCCCTTTGTGACATGGGGCTGTGTGTGCCCAGAGCCCATTGTGACACCTGGGGCTGTGCCCAGACCAGGTGGGTATAAAAAGGCACAGAGATCCCAGGAGATCAGCTCCAGCAGGAGACAGCAGCTCCTGGGGGAAGGCAGAGTCAGAGCAACTCCTCGATATCCATGGATAAGGAGTCGAGCACCGACACGAAGCCCAAGAAGACGTTGCTGATGTTCAGGAGGAGGCAGAAGGTGATGGGGCAGCCTCCAAACCGGGGCCAGGCTGCTGTGCCGGGGGGCCTGTTTTCACCCCAGAGAGCCACCTCATCCTCATCCTTCTCATCCTCCACACAGATACCCAACTCTGAGTCCTGGGCAGCAGCTGAGGAGGCCGAGGAGCACCATGACTCCCGTGCAGCCCCTGGCATGCAGGCAGCAGCAGCAGAGAGCCGGGAAGCAGCTCCACACAGCCCCGGGGCCTGCTGCCCGGCTCTGCTGCATTCACTGCAGCGCGGCTCCCGGGCCATCCTCAGCAGGGTGGCGGCCACGATCCGGCGATGCAGCCAGCAGCCGGGGACACAGAAATCCGGGTCACACCTGCATCGGGCCACGGAGGCAGTGTCAGCAGCAGCAGCTCCTGCAGCAAGGGCAGAGAGATGGGCACAGGCCTCGCACAGCCCCTGCTGCCCCCTCACTGCCCTGCCCAGCCCGCCGGGAGCTGTCGGGGGGCAGGGGGCAGGAGCAGCAGTGGGGACAGTCCTGGAAACATCAGGGCATGAGAAGGTCTGCTTCAGCCTGGAGCCAGACTGGGAATGGGACAGCCCCAGAGAGCTGTCCCAGGAGGAATACGACCCAGAGCAGGGCTGCAGCAGTGGAGAAGTGAGATCCCCTGTGAGGCCACACGAGGCCTGGGCAGAGCACTGGAACCTTCCCTCATGCTCAGCTGCAGGCCAAGCCTCAGCTTCGCCCGGCAGAGCCCTTCCCAGCTGGGAAGAGGACTCCATTTCAGAAACAATGCTGGCTGGCTTGCCCCCCAGCCCCTCACCCAGGCAGGTGGAGGCTCGCAGGCAGTGGGCAATAGCAGCAGCGAGGATACTCCTGCCAGGGCTGCAGAACGTGGAGGAGGACGCCTCAGAGGAGGGAGAAGCCAGCAGCAGCGGGGATGAGAGCGACTACATGTCCTGTAATTATGAACCGAGTCACCTGGAGCCTTGCAAAGGCAGAGGACTCTTAGAGCTTTCTCCTCAAACCAGAGATGAGCCAGCTGCCAAATGGGAAGACAGGAGCACGGAAGAGCTGTCAGATAAGAGGAATGTCATCACTATCCACACTATCTGGGTAAACCCTCGCTACCCACAGCTCCTGATGGACCCTGACTTGCTGCTAGAAGAAGAGGAAGATGCTGAGCTGCCCAGCACATCTCATGCCCTGGCAGCTCCCGGGGACACCCAGCCAGCAGGTGCTGCCCCAGCTGGAGGTTCTGAGGACAAGGAGCACCCTGTGCACACCACTGCTCAGCCATAAGAGGTGGCAAAGACAGAAGCTTCTGCAGCCTCTGTCACGCAGGAGCAGCAGCAGAGAGCCGGGCAGCAGCCCTGCACAGCCCCAGGGCTCATGGCCGGGCTCTGCTGCACTCACTGCAGCACCACCCTGAGCAGGATGGTGGCTGTGACCCAGCGATGCTGGGGACACAGAGACACCTGCATCAGGGCACAGAGGCAGCGAAGGCAGCAGGATCCCCCACAGCAGACAGCATGGCCCCTGGAAGCTGTCCATAGGCAGGGGACAGGGGCAAAAGCAGATCCACACCTGTCAGTGCCACCAACCGAGGAGCTCTGAGGCTCCAAGGAACCCAGGACTGTCCACAGCGTGGCCAGAGACACCTGAGCTGCAGCTCTGAGGAAGAAGTGCCTTGCTTCCCCTGCCATGCCTGCCCTGGCCTTGCGGGAACACGAGGAGAAAAAAATAGGAAATTAGTGGTGCCTGCTAGAAATAAAGATAACAGGATGAAAACCATCTCATGCCTTCTATTCCTGTTGAATTAATAAATTACACAATGGCATTCAACATAGCAAGTGATATATGGAAGTTAAGGGATTAACCTTAAGAGTTTTAAAGGTTTAAACTAGAGATTACTTTTTTAAAGAGAAGTGTTCAGAAGCCCATTTTGTTTCTGATAGATAATATTATTCAATGGTTTGTCTGGAATATGTTCCTCTGGAATAAGTTCCTTAGGCCCTTATGTTGTAGCTGTTGCTAATTTAGAAGAAGTTAGATAAGATGTTTCTGCTGAAATGAAAGGACAGAATTAATAAATCAGAAGTGCATTTTTATTTTTTTTTTATTGTGCTGTAGTCCTTGATTTAGTGGATAAATCTTGAAGTCTGAAGGATTTTGGTTGCTGGAGTGGTGCAGTGTGTGAGGTGTGGGGCAGAGGAGAAAGGCACTGCCTGGGGCAGGAGGGATGTGGGAGCACCAAGTCCTTGTGGCTTGTGGCACAAGGTGTTTGTTTGAAGCAAAATAAATTCTTTTGTGTCCAGCTTTCCTCCTAGAGAGTTGCCCTGGTGCAGAGATCATTCTGTAGGACTTCTGAGGGAATGAGTGCTTGCCTGGCATTGCAAATGGGAGCCCCTCAGCCACCAGGAGAAACAGCCACCAGATCTGAGAGCTGGCAGAACCCCAGCATCTCTAATTCATAACATCTGCACTGTGTTTCCTGGTTCTGTAAGAGCAGGGAAAGCGGTAACTGAGTGCAGAAAACAGAACTCTGTGCTTTCAAACGAACATTGTGGCCGTGAGAAGGAGAAAGGAGGTCAGATCTAAGCATGAATTGATGTGAGCAAAGCCAAACTCAGCTCCATTAAGATACAGATGCTCAGCTACTGTGTTCCTCACACCTGATATCCCCTTGTGCCCTAAAATCCAGATCCCTGCTGCAATGGCCCTGGGAGTGCAGGAACCTCAGAGGCCTCCTGGCCTCATGCAGGTGAGGAGCCTGGGAAGCCTGAAGAGCCTCAAATGCACACAAAGAAAAGCCCAAACCCTCCTGTTCTGCCAGCTGGATGAGCCCTGCAGAACACACAGCTCACACAAACATAGAGCATACTGGATGAGGGAACTACAGAGCCATTTCAAAAATATCTGCACCCCTCACTCTCCCCTCTACAGAGCCCCTTTCCAAAGTAGAGGTGCACTGAGTGCTTTTCCAGAACCAGCTGCTTTCAGAGCCCAGGAACAGTTGGCAAAAACAGTTTCTTTCAGGTACCTTAGAGCTGAGGCAATTAAAAGAGAATTAAACTGACATTTCTAACTTGCAGCACAAGAGGGATGTGCAGCCATGAAATAATTAAGAGCTACTGCTGGCAAAATACTATTTTCACCTGTCTGCTGCAAAGAATAAAAGAGCAAGAAGAATTTTTTGCTTTTTTTTTTTTTTCCTCCTTTCATTCTTTCTTGTAATTAGTTGCTGGTTATTGCTGCATCCCCAAATGCCAGAACCCAGGGGTTTTGCAAACAACAAGAGAGAGATTTAGTGTTCAGTACCTGGTTTATCCAGCCTCACTTGGTGACCAACATTTTGCCAGCAAGATTTCCCTGCTGAAGTGATTCCATGAAGGGCTCAGAACTTCATTTTCTGCTTTATTGCACTGGCTTGAAAGGTCTTTCCAGGCTTCCAGTTTGGGGATGGAGCACAGGGAGGGCTTTCCCCTTGTGCTTTGGTGGCTCAGACCTTTACAAGGACACTGCTGGCAGCACTGCCCTCTGCACTTTGGGAGAATGCCCCACATTGCTCAGATGTTTCTTCTGTGTTTCTTATTCTGACCTTCACAGTGGTCAAAACCTGCTGAAGAGCCAAGCCCTGGTCTCTGACCACCTGGCCATGCAGTGCTATTGAGGGCATGTGAATATATCTATGACTGATAATATAGAAATGTGCTTCTAAGAAATGGGCTTTTATTGTTACAGTATTGTAGCTGCCAAGGATGGGGGAACCCAGCTGTATTTTTCACTCTTGAAGTGATCACTGTGTGATCATTCCAAGCTGGATGCTGTGTCACAGTCTGCAAACAGAGAAGGAAATTATGTAGATAAACCTGGGGATATTATTTGTGTTTACATGAACTCCCCTGTGCTGTAGCTATTTCAGAGATGCTGTTACAACTCTGTTGACTAAATTGGAAAAAAACTACTCTCTATCTAGTCATGAATGCCATGGACAGTCTGAAAGATTGCACAAGGTGAAAAACAACTCCAGTCCTCTGGATTTGGTGCCAGTAGCTGAGGCAGTGTGGTGTCAGTGCCCTGTTTTTCCCATATATTAGCTCTAAGGAAGATGTTTTTTGCAATGAGGGTGTTGAAATGCTGGCACAGGTTATCCAGAGAGGATGCTTCATCCCTGGAAACATCCAAGGCCAGAAACCATGGAAGTCTCTGAGCCATTCCCTAAGAATCCTTTGCAGCCAATGGGATGTGCTGGAGGCTTGAAGAGAAACAGAACAAATCACTGCTCCTGCTCTCAGGTGGAAAACACTGGAGCAGCAATTTCAATAGATCCCTTAATGAGAAAAGGAATTCAGATAAACAAGAAAGCCATTATATCAACTTCAGGAGCACATTGAGCACACTCTCCTCTGGAAAACAACATTCCCACAGAGCAGGGGCGGTTCAGCAGCACATCCTACAAGGGATTTATAAATGAGCTGCACTCTGGTGCAGAGACCTGCATTAGCTGCTTCAAGGGCTTGCTCCCATTCCGGGCCTGCCCTTTGAAGATGACTCTATCCTTGCACAGGCCTACAATTTTACTGCTCAAAGCATCAGACACAGCTGAAATCATCCAAAAAAGAGACATAGTTCTCCTTTCTATTTCCAGATTGTTATCCTAGCAAAAAAAAAAATAAAAAAAAATGCCCTTCATCTGCTGTTCTGTTGGTGAGAGCTCAGCCCCTGCTTGGTTTCAGTTTGGAAGGAGGAAAAGTGCAGTGGGAGCTCTTTGTGCCAACATAAACCCCACAAGGTCAGAGGCAGATGAAGTCTCACTTGAAATAAAAGTTGCCTCCTCCAGAGATATCAGTGCAGTTTTCTGGAGTTAACTGATGAATGATGGATTGCTTGGTGCTCCCTGGTTACATGGGAGATTCCTGCTTCAGACTTCTCCATGCCAGGGGAAGGCAAAGTGTCAGAGGAGGAGGATGGAGTGCAGGGGGGCACAAACTGTACAGCAGCAGCTTTTCTTTTCTTCAAGGTGCTGTATCCACATTCCTCAGCCATGGACATATTTACCACCAACACCTTTGGTAGCAAAAGTTTACAAATTTACCATCAACACCTTTGTTAACAAAGTAAGAGAATGGTATTGTAGCTGCCAAGGACTGGCTGGTGATTCCAGGTCAGTCATCTTCTTAGTCCTGAGAACACTTTCCTGTGATGGAAATGAGTTGGGCAGAAGTGGTGTAGGGAAGCAACAGGAAAATCAGCAAAAAGCAAAGGGTATTTCTGTGTTCCACTGTTGACAAACCCTATCCAGTGATCAAATCAGGATCCTCAGCCTAGCTCAGGGCTCCAGCCCTGTGCTCATGTCCGAGGGCTTCCTGTAATGCCCTGGCAATGAGGGCTCTGTGAACACAGTGCCAAAGGAATTGTTTCTTCCATGAACTCCACAGATCCAAATAAGATAGAAGATATTCTGGCCACTCTGGACAAAGAAAAATTACTTCTGCTCAAAGCAGACCCTCCCTGATGCTGCAGAGCAGGTCTATTTGCCCCATGTCAGCTACACCGTACTGGCTGTGTCTGTTTTAGGCTGTCACCCACTCTGACTGACACTGTGAGAGGGTCAGGGCGTAGGAGAGACTTCCAAACCTTTATGTGAAAAATGTAAAGTGCAGAAGTGCTGATCTCTCGGTTAAATTAAGCTCCACGGGGTTTCCTGCACCTTGCACAGGAGTTAGTGGAAGTTTCTTTGAGGAGAGTTCTACACACTTTTTCCAGAAACCATCACACATTTTAATTACTCCTTTCACACATCCAAGCACTTTATATGCAAGTCAACCTTCCAGGCAAGTGTCTTTTTAATAACCTTTTAGTTAAGCCTGGTATTTTTCATTTCACCAAGCATTTACTCTTCCCATATAACAGACCTTTGCTCAAAATACTTCCACCATTATGCCAGAGGTACAAATTCCACTGACTGCTAGCACCAAAAAGCAGAATAACTGGATGTTTTCAATTACCATAACTGCTTAAGCAGAACTGTCACACAACATAAAGGCGTGCATAAGTGGTGCAGTTTAATTGGATATTAAACCACCCTACAGCAGGAGCATCCCATACCCCAAGGAAAAGCAGAATGATGAACAGAGGAGATTGTAGCTGATAACTTCAGGATGGGATTAGAAAATGAGTGTGGGAACTTGAGGCCTCTGGAATACATTGCCCTCTCTCCAGGTCACCTCACATGGTGCTGAACAGCACCACAGAGCATCACTGGTGACTTCCCTCTGCAGATGACTCAACCACAGCCAGTCAGGATTCTTTTCATGCAAAGATCTTTCCTCTCTGAGACGCTGCACAACCTTCAGGTCAGACTGAGCTGTTGCAAAGGGGACCCATCAAAGGCCCTTTGCAAACCTAAAACCAAACTGGAGCTTCCTGCAGAGGGGAGTTTGGAGAAGTCTCACTCAGGGCCCAGCCATCCCAGAATTACAAACACACACAGACCACAGGGCACATCCCTCAGGGGCAGGATGCACATCGGTTCCCCCATCTGGAGATTTCTTTAAGGAATGAAATGGAAATGATCCATTAGTGACACCAATCAGTCTCCCATTTATAATCAAGCTAAAGTTTTGCTGTGGACAGTGGTTCACCTTGATCTGAGCCAAGGACCTGACACTAAACAGAACAGGACTCACTGTGTGATTCCTGCTCAGCTGCCAACATCCCCTTTTTATTCTACAAGATACAGAAACAAATGGCACAATCAGTACTTTATATTAAATAACTACTAAATGTTGCAAATGCATTAAAAATACATTTGTAATAAATGCAAAGGTACATTACCCTGGAGTTTTACCTTCACTCTGCTGCACAACTTTCCACTGAAAAGGCAGAAAGCCCTAGAAAGAAATTAATGAAATTACAGCAGCCAGTAAGGAAAAAGGAAGCAAATAAGCAAAACCTTAATGGAAAAGAAATTCAGGCTGCAACTTCAGGACAAACTGAATGCTTCTACTACAGTGGTTAACAGCAGATTTAAAGTCATTATTAAGTTTCAAAGTTTCACTGCTGACACTGAGGCATTACACACCTCTTGAAAGTTACAGCCTTGGAGGATTTGTCAACACCCGCCCAAGTCTGTCAGGCTAAATCCTAAGGAAATTTTTCTTCACTAACTGTGGTAGTTTGGCATTTGAATCTAAATCAAAGTGAAGAGTCAAAGAGACTTTGACACACTACAGAACATGCTTTTGTTATGGGAAGCTTCCCTATGTGCAAAAACATTTAAATTAAGGAGGTTCCTGTGCAATGAGTAGCAAAGGTGGCTTAAATTTGGTCTTTTGCTCTCTGAATTTTGTGTCTTCAAATATTTTCTTCCACTCAGCTGGTATCCTGTGCATGGTTCCATCAGAGACACAAATGTCACCCCAAGAGCATGCACTACCATAGTCAAAATAAAGCTTTCCCCATTATTAACAGACATTCAACCCATCACTCGTAAGTGCATGAAGTATTGGTACTCCCTTAGATAGAAACATTCTGAAATACAGCTGGTAACTGTTGTGTTTATTAAGGAACTGGTATGTAAGTGGAGTTTGTTTTTTTAATAACCAACACGGTACTTCCCCTTCCAAATAAAACGAAATGTAACAGAAAGAAAAACTCAGCAAAATACAAGGAAAGAAAGGATAGAGGGACAACTCTGGGCTGTTCTAACTTAGTGAGTTAACAGATCTCTAAACCCAGTGTCAAAGAGCCATCACTCTCAAGAGGGCAGGGCCAGTTTATCCAGTGAATTCTCACAGCCTCTGCTTGCACATCCTGCACAAAGCTCGAGCGGATGCATCGCCAGTCCGGCAGAGACAGCTCAAGCACATGGGAGTGATTTCAGTCTCCTCAAGTCTCCCATTTCATTACTCAGGGGTAATTAGGTTATTTTCTCATACAAAGCACTTTAAAGCCAGGCAGTGCAATCCTTCCCAGTACAAGTTCCAGAGCTCCCTGTGATGCAGCATTCCCTGCTGGGCAGCGGGTCTGGACTGGGCAGAGCACACACCATGGGGTGCTTTTCCAGCCCAGCTGAGCAGACCTCGTTCAGGTACAAAGCAGCCACAGAGACCTCAAATTAAGGTTTGTCCAACTTGTGTGTGCGCTCATGCCTCCGTAGGGTCCCTGACTCGGTGAAGGAATGGCCACACAAATTACAGGAGTAGGGCTTCTCTCCGGTGTGGATGCGCTGATGGCGCTGGAGCGATGCCAGCCGCGTGAAGGTCCCTCCACACTCCTCGCAATAGAAGGGCCGTGCCCCGGAGTGAGTCTGCTGGTGTCTCTTGAGCCTGAGCAGCTGCACAAACGCCATGCCACACTCCTGACACTTGTAGGGCTTGTCCTCCCGGTGGATCACCTTGTGCTTGGACAGCAGGTTGGGTTTATCGAAGCCTTTCCCGCACGTCGGGCAGGCGTAAGGTTTGAAGTCATCTTCCCGAGACTTTGGGTTTCCAGAGCAAGCCTGATCTGGGCACTCGGCATCGTGCTGGCCGCGGTGCACCACGGACCAGGGGTTCCTGGCCATGCCGTTGGCCAGGATCACCATGGAGCGCTCGATCTTGTGCACGTTGCGCAGGTGCCTCCAGACGTCGGCGGTGCGGATGAAGCCCTTGTCACACTCCGGGCACTTGTGCGGCCTCTGGCTGGAATGGATGAGCTTGTGCATGCGCAGGTTGGCCGCGCGGGTGAAGGCTTTGGCGCAGATGGGGCAGCGGTAGGAGTTTGCCAGCAGGTGAGCTCGCCTGTGCTCCTGAAGCTCTCGCACGCCGCAAAAAGAGGAGCCACATTTCTTGCATTGATGTGGCAGAGCTTCCTTGGGGACAGGCTCCAGCTGCTCACCAAACACATCCCCAAGAGCGGCGCTTCCGCTGTCCTCACCGAGTTTTGTTGTCGTCCGTGGTTTCCTGGGGTGCTCAGAGGAACAGCGATCTAAATCCTCATCTTCACTCTGCAGGTGGAGGCTGGTGCTGGAGAACTCCCCAGCTGCACTCTCACCTCGTTCCTGGCAGTAGGTGCCACAGGTTTCTTTGTCTCCACACCGCAGTTCTGTGGGAAGCTCCTGCTTTGCTGCAGGTCCAGCAGAGTTTCCAGGAGGACTGTAGGAGTAATTCATGTCCACCTCTTTCTGCAGGTTACAGCTGTGGCCCACCTGCTTTGTCGCCTTTCTGGGATAATTTGAATGCTCCCCCCCTGTGTCACAAACGCTGTTCTCACTCACATCCATCCTCTGAGGTAAACACTGTGTTCATCTGCAGCCCTCATCACCCAGAGCTTTGTGTCTTTCATGGTAAGTCCATCTCATTTTCAGCCCTTCTGACAATCCTACCTAGAAAATAAAACACCTGTTTCATCAGTGAGTCATCTGATATTATAAATTTAGAGCAGTGAAGGTATTTTTCTGACAGACAATTAGATATGCAGTAGAGGAAACAGAATCATCTACTATTAGATATGTAGAAAATATACATTCAGCACACAAAAGATAGACAATGTTTAATATAGTTAAATATTCTATAATCAGCCGGCCTTCGCTACCAAATACAAACTGATAATCCTGATTTTAAATTTTCCTAAAGATGAGAAATCACAGAATCCCAGAATGGTTTGGGTTGGTGGGGACCTTAAAGACCATCTCATTCCAAACCCCTGCCATGGGAAGGGACACCTTCCACTAGACCAGGTTGCTCCAAGCCCCGTTCATCCTGGCTTTGGACACTTCCAGGGATGGGGCAGACACAACTTCTCTGGGCAACCTTTGCCAGGTTCTCCCCACCTTCACAGTGAAGGATTTCTTCCTAATAACTAATCTAAATCTCTCCTCTTTTAGTTTAAAAATGTTTCCCTTTGTTCTATCTGTGTAAAACATTGCTCTCTTTCTTTTCTGTAAAATCCCTTCAAGTACTGGAATGTGGGATAAGACATCTCTGAATATAAGCATACATATTAATGAACACATACTTAAGAACATAAATATTTCTGTATTTCCAAATATTTCTGTATTTCCAAATGTACATAAATGTAAAACTTGCCTATTTAGTTTCAGCAGGTTTATCAAGTGCAGTTATCAAGGCAGTACAGCGATGTGCATTAGGTGAAAGCTCTTATTCACGCTCCTGAAAGGCTGGCTCCATCGGCCACACAAGCCCTGCTTTCTTCTGCTGGAGACATGGAAAACAATCTGGATTAATCCTCATTAGTCACTGCCTGGAACAGCGTGGCTCCACTCACCCCCAACTCCAGCCACTCCCCACAATTTAATAAGGAGCTGGTAACAGGAGTACTCCTCACCTCCAGCCCTCCAACTGAGCTGCCCATGCCTTTGGGGTGGGAAAACTTTCCAATATATAATATTCCAACTTATAACATATATATATATAATATATATTATTATATATTATATTATCCTATTATTATATATTATTATTATGTATTATTATATATTATTATATAGTGTTCCATATTATTATACATTATTATATATTATTACATATTATTGTATATTATTATATATTAGTAATATATTGTTATATTAATTATATATAATATATAGAAATATATATAATATATGTAATACATTAGTGATAATATATATTAATGTCTATAATAGATTTATATTATGTATAGATATATGTATATATATTAAATATATAGATATATATATTTGTATATTTTTTATATATTATATTAATTTTTGTGCCAGGCAGCATGACCCAACCACCCCCTCCTCAACTTTTCCCCGCTCCGATGCCCGTTCCCTGTTCCCCCGCCCTACCTGGGCGCTGCGGGTCCCGGAGCATCCCCCGCGCATCCCCCGCGCATCCNGGCCGTGCTGGAGCTGCCCGCAGCGGGGCGGGACCGGACACCGTGTCCCCTCCCCGGTCGCTGCGTCCCCTTGCCGGTCACCGCTTCCTTTCTCCGGCCACCGCTCCCCGTTCCAACCCCGCGGCCGGGACCTTCCCACCGCGGATTGCTGTGCTCCGGGAGCCTGATCATGGAATCCCGGAATGGTTTGGCTTGGAAGGGACCTGGAATGTCGTCTCGTTTCTGCCCTCTGCCGTGGGCAGGGACACCTTCCTCTAGACCAGGGTGCTCCAAGCCCCATCCAGCCTGGACTTGGGCATTTCCAGGGATCCAGGGGCAGCCACAGCTTCTCTGGGCCTCACCATCCTCATAGGGAAAAAAATTCTTGTAATATCTAATCTAAACCTGTTCTCTTTCAATTTTACCCCACCTTCCCTTGTCCTGCCACTCCAGCTCTTGCAAATAGTCTTGCCCCATGTTTCTTGTATACTCCCTTCAGGTACTGCAGGGCCACAATTAAGTCACCCCAATTGTCTTCAAGCTGAACAATCCCGGTTCTCTTGGCCTTTCCTCATAGCAGAGCTGTTCCATCCCTCTGATTACCTTGCTGCCTTCCTCTGGACTCTCCCCAACAGGTCAGAACAGCGAGGTTCTGTCCCTCAGCTCCAGCAGCTCACAGCAATTCATGGAGTGTCCCCTGTGTCCCCCACCACGGCAACAACTGTGCCTTGCATCCATCCTCCTGCAGGAGTGTGGCAGGGATTGATTCCCTTCCAGGCCCTGCCTTGTGGGAAGAAACAGGCTCTGCCCCTGTCAGGAGGGATCAATCCACTTCCCAGGATTGTGTCCCACTTCCTACTGGAATAAACCTTGGCACCCAAAAGGGCATTTGGCATCTTCAGCCATGCCTCAGCAGGGCCCTTCACAGTGGCACCAGTTCCTTGAGAAGTCCTTTGCCCAACACATCCAAGGATCCCTCCTGCCTTTGCCAAAGCCAGGATCGTGCTCGGCAGCTGAAACCACTCTCCAACTTCTCTGTGTAACCTCATGGAGATTGCTCCAGCTTTAAACCCAGCTCTAGGAAGCTTTGCACTGCCTTTTCCTAGCAAAACTCCTCCAGCTTTGGGAAATAGGCTCCACAATTAGCAGCAAATACAGAAATGAAATGACAAATGAACAAGAGTGTATATTGCCAGCATGCAAATATGGTGTAGAAGAATGCTCCAAGCTCTGTATTATTTTTGTGATTGCACAGATCTTGCTAAAAATAGACATGAAACTGGAAACTGCTCTGCTGAGAGTTGAGGGTGAGGAAAAGAAATGTACCTACTCCATCCACATGGAAAAGCAGGTTCCTTCTGAGAGCAGAGTAAGTGGCAGTTCAGTTCCTTCACATGAGGCACTTCAAAAACAAGTTTGCAAAAAATCCTTTAATGACAGTCCTTGAATCCATGAGGAGCCCACACTCTGCTTGCAATGGCAAACCTTGCAGGGGAAGAAGAACTGTCATTCCAGCTTTCCCAAACTAGGAAAAAAACCCCAAAACAACTCAGAAGATTTCCTTTATTTTTATTGTAATTTTTTTTTTTTTTTCAGAATTTAAATGCTTAGATGTTTCTTATTTAGCTGGGCAGGGTAAAGGCTGTCTCCCACCTAGACCCAGGGTGCACAGAATGACAGAATACCCCTTCCACATCCCTCATGGAACACAAACACACACCCTCTCCCCTTTGTCACAAAGAAAACTCTAGGAATACACAAGGACATGCACCCACATCATGTTTGTGTGAGGCAAATGGCCATTTTTTAAAAACTCCAAATTGTGGTTTATCCCACAACCACCAAGGATTGGGGTAGTGCCAGGAGTGCCCTTCCTCATAGGGATCATGGAGGAAAAGGCCAAAGCATCTCCATGTGCTCCTCCTCAAAAAAGCATCCATAAAAATGATGTTTTTCTCATCCCCACTTATCCTCCCTTGAGTGCTCAGAGGAAAAGAATTCTCAACATTCATCTCCAGGTCAGGGTTGGTGGGTTGATTCAATCACACTTTTGGTAGGAAATTTTTTGGTCTCCTCTTCTTGGCACTGCAGTTCCATATGGATTTCTTATTGGACCAAAGGTTTTGCAGGATGCACCTAAGACTGGGAGGTGGTGAGGAATCTTCCATCACCTCCAGCTTCCCACCCTTTGTGAGGCTTCTGTGGGATCACCTGGGTGTTCCTCACCTTTGTGAAAACTGTCAGCAGCAGGAAGCAAGCCTGCCTCCCACCTGTGGTATCACACAGTGCTCACTTGTTAGGAAATGTGGAAACAGGCAGCCCAAATTCCTCTGTGCCCAGTCGTGTCTGGCTTCTTTCACGTCAGCTTCCTCGGGAAGGAAACAAGAATTCCGTTATCTGCCAGGCAAAGTTAGTATTTAATCTGTCAGTTTAATTGAAAATACTTCAGTGGTGATAAATAATGCAGGGCACTGCAAATGATGCCTCGTGGGTGAGATCAAAGACCCCGGGCAGAACCAGTCAGGGCCTCGTGGCTGCTGTTGTTGGGCTGAGATGAGACAGAGAAGGGATTCTGTGCAGGGTAACAAAACCAGCACGTCCACACCCCACACCCAGAGTGACAAAAGTGTCCACAAACCCATCAAATTCATCAGCACAGCCCCAAACTTCCCTTCTGGCTTTGACAGCACTGAACACTCTGTCAGTGTTTCCCTTTTAGCATAAAATAGCAACAAAATTCAGAGATCTTGCTCTGTTGGTCCTCAGACAAACACACTTAGCTCTATCAACTTCCACATATTTTGATTTTTCCTCCTAATGCTGAGGTATTTCAATGTTTTCTGTGTTCTCTCACACTTGTTGTATCTACAAGCCCATGATTTCATTAAACTCTGCATTCTAAACCTTTCCCACCAGCCTTGATGAGCTCTCCCAGCACACACACACACAAAAAAATCAGCTGTAATCCTCAAGGAGAAGGCAGAAAACTAATTGAATCACCCATTTCCTTGCAATATATGATTCCTATTAAAATTACATTATTGGTGTTTTGTGCCTGCCCTACATTCATATTCCCAACACACACATAGATGGATGCCAAATCCTTTTTATTTATGCCACCTCACTTTTATGTTTCTTAAATGTGAAGAGTCTGTCAGGACAGATGAGGATCTGTAATGTATTTGCCAGTTAGACCTACTCTGGAGTAATTTCTTAAGTTTTCTGTTAAATTCACTAAAAAATGTGAACTCGTGGTTTGCATTGCTGTCACAATGGGAACTAAATATATTCTGTGAAGGGTTTAACATCACATTCCATCAAATCTGAATTTTTTATGGACCACAGAGGTGTCTGACATCTGGCTACTCTGTTTTAGGACTGTCATAAACACTTTAAACATCTGAGAGCTTCAGACTTTTCTATGTAAAACAGGAAAAAAAAAAATCCTAAGCAATGTTTCTTCTAAGAAGGAGCTGAATCCAGAGGGATTTTATTGATATTTGGCTGAAGTTTGAGCTTTT